GGGGGGGGGGGGGGGGGGGGTGCTCTGCCAGCTCTGGTGCCGAGTTGTGTCGGTCATGTGTGCCGCCCGCCCATCAACTTGCTTCACTACTGCAAAGTGTTGCTTGACTACAGTATTTGAAATTGTTGTTCACAGTTTGCTTATCGTCATGTTATTACTCAAATTACTGTATCTCATTTTGTCTCTAATAATTTTTTGCTTTATCATGAAAAATGGCACACACCTCCCCCTGCACCCCCTCTGGCCAGGACTAGGGCGGTGCGCACCCCCCCCCCCCCCCCCCCCCCAATAAATTCATCCCTGATTGTGAAACGCAAACCAACTAGTCTACAGGAAATGTAACACATTAATACAAATTTACAGTTAAGTTGTTTTTTTATAATAAATATGAGAGCCCAACATATAACTTTTAACAAAGCCATTAAAACAGTTAAGATTGTAAAGAATTTTTTGTGATGTAAACTGCCTGTTACCTGTCCCCTTCGCGCCCTAGGTGGCACATAAGGCCTCAGCAGCTTTCCTCCATTTCGTCCTGTCCACAGCAGTCACCCTCGCCTCGTCCCAGATCTCCATCCAGCCTCGACTCTCTGCTGTATATTGTCTGACGATTCTTGTGCCACATTCTGTAAAACAGATAATGGACAACGTTATGACAAATATCATCGGGTAGACTACTATCCGGTATTCGGTAAAGCAGTATCTGACACATCCCTAACACTAGGGTTTTGTCATGGACTTGTAGGTTTGCTGGAACTATGAACCTTCATCCTTGGCACTATCCTATTGCTTAACAAAGAACGTCGCGAAATTCTACTATGTATCACATTCAAAACAGTATAACGAGAAATAACAACTACAATGACAACAAAATATGATATTCACACGTGATTTGCAGATTGAAAAGCAGCTTTGCTTGAAATCTGAAAACAGTCTTAATTAATTGTTTAATTCTAAAAACTTAGTTTTAGACTGGCACTCGTCATGCGCTTTGTCACAGTTTCTTAATTTTGCTTTTATTGTTATTTGTTATCCAGAAATTGTGTGAAGCAAGCAAGAAACTTGAAAAAGCTTTGGGGGATGTTAACGAAAGGGATATTTCGGGACAACGTACTGCCGAACAGCTGAAGAAGAGCAAAGTAGAAATAGAAGATTTGAAGAACTCTTTCGAAACTGTTTCAGATGAATTACAACGTGTTAAGATTGAGGTAGGAATATCGATAACAAAGATTGGTTGTGCGTAAAATTCCGGTTATGGAGCGCAGCGAAGTACATTTGAGTTATTGAAATTAAGCCAGTTTTCCGCTTCAAGCGTATCGTACTGAATAGTGATTGTTGATTGGTTAATACTTCCGTAGTACGCCAAAAAGTTGACTTGCGACGAACTTTTCATTTTGACACGCGAATACACCCGGAAGAACGTGGATTTATTTTTTAGATATTATATAAAAAAATTTATTCACCAATAATAGAAATAAAATACGGGGATTTATAAACGTCTTCTACGCATGCTCACCAGTACGTTTCTGTACGGTACGGTTGAAGTGGAAAACTTGCTTAAATTTAAATATGACTGTCTAAGTTTTGGTTTGTGGAAACACCACTGTCACCACGTATATTTACTAGGAGTAACCACAAGTCTGAAGTGCATCCTGGGGATATTATAGTCACGCATACATAATAGAGACCTTAAGATTGGCGTTTTAGGGCAAACGTCAAACCGCTAACGAAGTTTTGGATATTACAACTCTATTATAACAGCTTTTACACCAGTTTTTAAATATATTGAAAAATTATTAAACTTGTGGTATTTAGCAATACTCTAAGAAAGCAAAATAATCACTAGTCGTGTATTCACAAAAGCAGTAAATTAAGATTTGGCGTTTGATGTTGACGTTTGGCGTATAGATTCTATACTTGAACTGCTACGAGAGCTTGTAGTTGTTAAAGCTTGTGCCAATTTTTAGCATTGTCAAACTTGTCGAAGGCATAAAGTTAAAATGCGTTGCGGCGCAGACCATGATGCTTGTGCGATTTCGTCTCTCGCGCAGGCGACGCAACGAAATTCACCCGGTGCGTGAATAAATAATCACACGTGTAACCTAACATACAATACCGTTATAGTATGTGAACTTACCATACAGGAGTACCTGTTTACTCCATCTAAAGCAATTCACTGCTGCATAAATGCAAGCCAACTAGCCAAGTTCCAAATTTGGACACCCAAATTGCAGATCAGGGGGGATAAAACAATGACATTGCTACCTATATATACGTGGTTGAATTAAGTGTTGTCTTATTTTAGTTGCAGAAACGCGACGAAGTGATTAAGAAATTGAACAGTGACGTGCATGTCGCAGAAGGAGCTTTAAAGAAAGCGATGAGTGATAAATTTGAAAGTGATGAAATTGTGAATATTAAGGAAGGTATGAGTTTATGATTGCATAATACCCTTGGTCTAGCGTGTAGAGAAGTGTTGGCTGGATGTATATACAGTGCCCTTTCCCTCTGCGGATATGCTGCGAATCTGGGTCTGTAGTAGCCAAATTCAGTGCGTGTACTTGCCAATTGTCCAGAATAGTAAAAAAACACGGTTCCTGCTACGCTGGCATCAATGAAAGGGAAGCATACGCTAATATTTCACACTGATATTACAATGAGTAATAATACATATTCTTGGGGCCATTTGCAGTCGATTTCACGAAACTTTGACCACAAATGTTCCCAACTTCGTTGCAAAGTTCAAAAGTTCGTAATGAGATTCACAAACCAGTTTGTAAACTATGCATTTGATTGCTTCTCTTACTTCAGGGACTCTGTTTACAAATTGGCTTCCAATATGAACTTTCGAACCGAATTCGCAACGACGTTCGGAACATTTGTTGTCAAAGTTTCGTGAGATTGACTTTAAAGCGCTTTTTTTGGCACCAATACGACCTATAACATAAAAGCATCACGAATTTAATATTTACCAACTTCCTTACGACGTTAATAGGACTGAGCAAATTTTGTTCGATTTCACTCCGACCCCGCGTTTTCTGCCGCAGACTGCAAACGGAATCTCTTGCCCCCCACAACAACTTATGTTTTCGTTTCATCATATCACCGATGTGGCCGACAGCTTTTTTACATTGGCGTTTCCAGTCTATTCCTTTCGATTGTGTAAACTTACAACTTGCACAAACCCAGCTTTAGCACGTGTTTTTTTTTCTATGTATAAGAAATGAGCTTTTTACACTATTTATTCAAAAGGCTGCCGGCAAAAGAGTCGTTTTGTTGTCAGAGTCAAAACGACTTTTTTGTCGTCGTTTTGACTCTTCTAAATTGACCGTGTATCTGTTATTTCGTGCAGCGGAATGCAAGAGATGCGAAGAAAAAATCAGGGATCTCGAGATACAACAGAATGTACAGAGCAAGGAACTAGAAGCAACGAAATTACGTCATATCTCAGTATCAGGTAAGAATTCGGTTTTTATTAGAGTGTGCATCGGATCAGATTTGGAGGTTCACAATCCTACAATTGATATTTTTTGAACTCTGATTCGAAATTGTGTGATGCAATCCGATTCGAGTTTGTTAAAGCGATCCGATCCGATAAAAACTTCAATAAATTCAACTCTCCAATCAACTGTGTATCAATTTCAAATTTTTAATATCTAGATTCTATACTTTAGTCTTTGCAGAAGCCAGCCTCGGCTGATCGAGGCAAACAGTAAAATTCTTAATTTGCCTCTGCAATTGCCGAGTGCCGAGGCAAATTACGAGGATACATTTAAAATATATTATATATATATATATATATATATATAATGTTTACAGGTTTAAACTATTATAAACTGGAAGATCGTGACTCTATTTTTACGACCATATATACATACACACATACAAACTTTATTTAACCACGCTATATCCCCGACAACCGTTAGGAGGCTGATTTCCATTGGGGGGGGGGGGGCCCGCCCC